TGCTGTGGTCCACACGTTTGAATTTGAACTTCATTTGGAAGTTTACCTACTTTGACCTGATTCTGATTGAACGATTTTAGGTTTTCTTTGAAAGGCGTGGCACGTTGCAGTGTTTGGTGTACTGATACTTGCTTCGTTTGACTTTGAAATATTTCCTGATCTGGTGTAACTTGTGCTGGCTTAAATACTTCGGGATTCTTCTTTGTAAGTTTTGGGTTTACTTGTCGTTGTGTTTCTTGCACCTGTGAATTTCCTCTGATGGGCCTAATATTTTGTGATTCTTGCTTTGGTTCGCATGGTTGGACTTGCAGCATTTGTTGAACTTCTGTGACTTGGTTTCGATTGAATGGTTTTAGATTTTCTCTTACTGGCATGACATGTTGGATATTCTGCTGAGTTGATACTTGGTACATTTGATTTTGAAATATATCTTGATCTTGTATGATTCGTGCTGTTACTTGCTTAGCTGTCGGCTGGTTGCGGTGCTGATTACTTCTCTGCTGGTTGAGAATAGGTGACTCGGAATTTGAACTGGGAATAAGTTTATCTTGTATCGGCATAGTAGGTACGCGTCTTACTGTATTTTCCAATAACATCGTTTGTGGATATTCAACTTCTATGCGACCAACTATCACTTCCTGTCGAACACCGCGTCGACTCATTTTATCCTGTTCTGCGCGAAGTTCTTCGAAGTCATCAGCTAGTATTGTTAATTCTGTTAAGCTCGTAAAGTCTCGACGTTTGATGTACATTTGGTACTCTGTGCGCATGTTTCGGTATATTTGCTCCAATTGCGAATCTTGGTTTATGCCTGTGTGTCGCATAAGATATTTGATTTCCAGTACATAATCTTTAAAACTTTCTTGTTCCTTCTGAACTCGTGCTCGCACCTCGTCTTCTAATCTTTTGAAATATCTAGATGAAAGAAAAAATTTTAGAAAGTCTGTTTTGAAGCTTGACCAGAGGTTCCAATGCTTATTGTTGTTGCGGTACCACATCAGTGCTTTGTCTTCAAGCAGTATAGGCATCATTCTGGGAACTAAATTCACGTTGATGTCGTCAAGGTCTGCTACCTCTTCTATGCTTTCCACAAAATCTATTGGATCTATTCCTCCATTGTACTTTACAGACCATTTTCGTATCCGCTCCACGCTTTGAGCATACGATAAGGCCATGATGTGCTGCTTATGCGAACGTCTTGTATGTTTCTCTGTTGAACTGGCTTGAATTGGACTACGGATGAAAGTATTTAGATTTTATCTTTTGATCATGTTAGCTTGTGCCATGGTAACGTGGATATTACTTTGATTTAATTTTGAGAAGTCTGTCTGTCCCTGCTCGGGCGCCAATTGTAACGACACGGATTTTCCCGTTTCGTTATAATTTATGCTGGGGTATCCTCAGTCTTTTCCAGGGGGTCGCTACAATAAATTTATATTCGCGGAGACAGGACTTCTCAAAATAAAAGTAATGTGTGTTAAATTTTAAATGTAGATTTATTTAAAATATTATTAATTCATGAAAATAGTATTTATAAAAAAGGAATTTAGTTAAACGTAATTATGTAAACTTGAGATTACTAATGTGTACAATTCAATGACATAGTATTTTTTTAAAAAAAAAAAACAAAGTAAATTCATTAAACGTGATTAAACTTGAGAAACTTGAGATTATTTCCTGGTATTCTGCTGTATCTGGAGGTTGTTCCTTTGGAGCTCGGTGATCTCTAATCTGGTTCCGTGGTTTGTATCTTCGTATGATTACTTGCTCAATGCGTACCTGTGTGGGACAGAAGGGTTAGTGTATATATACAAAAAATGTATTTCCTTGTTTGGTTATAGAATATCTATACAATAGTGTCCAAGTGTCTTGACTTAAAACCGCCCATGCACTTGTACACAATTATATATATATTTTAGTAATTTATACAACTAGGCTTAAAACCGCCACTGTGTCAGACAATATTTTTTTATATTTATTTATTTTATATTTTGACATACAATGCCACCGAGTGATCATACAAGACTCACTAAATTCTTAGAAAATTGCGCCTTATTTTATATGCATTTCTCTTGAACTTTTTGTGTAAAGTACACAAAGCTTAGAGTTGATCTTAGTTGAACTTACTGCCCTTAACACTTTTGCACAAAAGCTCCCTTGTGCATCTTTTTGCAGCGAATTGCATTCTGACATTTTTGACGTTTGTAAATGTTTGTTTACATTTTTATAAAAAGCGGCGGTGCTCGTGGTTTTATTTTATAGTTGAATTATTTATAAATAAAATAATAAATAACTTATAAATAAATTATTATTTATTAATTTAAATAAATTTATGTGGAAAAATAATGAAGGTATGTTATATGGTTATTTTTATTTATATACCTTTTGTATATATTATTGAAATGTTTTCTCCTAATTACAGATTACATCACGTATTTTGTTCAAAGTGGTGGTGTTACTAAATTTATGTAGGTTGGAAATTATTACAAAATTTCCATCCTTACACCCGATAGATAAGGAGATAGCAGATGAAAAACGTTTAGATGATTACGAATCTGTTCAGACATTATCGCAACTAAAACGCTTGTGTGAATTATACACGCACCCCACCAATATTTTCTGAAAACCAACATTGATGCTTATAATAACGAATTCAATGTCGGACTCACCAGACATACATACCAAATTACTTTTTAAATGAGACTTGCAATAAATTGCCACCCCACCTCCTCTCCTATCATGGCGGTATAAAATATGATTGTTCATTGAAAGATATAAGCTACTGATGTCGCTATTAAACCAAGTTTCCGACACGCATATGATATCAACATCGGAGTTTTCAAAAACAGTCTTAGTGTAGTCAAATTTCACATCAGTTAGGCTTCTAGCATTAAAATGTATCATATTAAGACCGCAATTTTGTTTACTTAATATATTTATTAAAGTTTTGTGGTTCATCAAAGTTGATAATCAATTCTTTCAGCTTCCACTTTAAGTTTTCTTTGCAGGGTTTTACATATTAGATCCCTGGAATCATGGTCTATGTCGAGATCATTCAGATTTAGATTTTTCTTGGCTACAGTTTACACATCTGTTAAAGCTGTTTTTACATTCTTTGTATATGTGACCAACTTCACCGCATTTTGGACATACATGCTCACTTTCCTTACAAACAGTTGCTTTATGGTTAAAACCCCAGCACTTGTATCATCGCATTACATTCAAGTTTTCGTACACTATGCATCGTTCCCAGCCAATATTAAGTCTACTAACACTCATAACTTGCTTGAAAGCTATGCCATCTAATTCAACCAACGCGTTAAAGATGTTTTAATTTTTGAACGACTCATATATTTTCAAGACTTTTATAAATTTAATCTCCATATTGTTTTGATTTCTTATTACTTGGAGAAATTTATCATTTTCCAAACGCTCGCTCATGCCGGTAATAAGGATTTTAGGGTTTCGCATAGCAGGTGTCTCAATTTCATAGTTCTTACCTAATTTCTTTTTAATTTCTTTTGCAAGAATTTCTCTCTCTTTTGAGGTTACACACTTTATTGTTACCCTTCCATCATGTTTAGAATAAAAACCACAGACCTTAACATTAAACTCTGATGGATTTATTTTAGTTTTTAAATCATTTTTAGTTGCTTCACTTAATTGCTTATTTTTAGGTTTTAGCGTTACTGGAATATTCGGATTGTTTTTCATCTTTAATTTCGCGGCGTACGTTTCGCTTTGAATTTCATTATTTTTGATGGTTTTTACTAATTCAGCACCTAATTCGTTATCATTTTTAGTCAAATTATCAGACAAGTCTATTACTTTTTGCTCAAACGAAGCCAATTTTTTTTCATATATTTCTTGCACTGCCATAAGAGAGGTGACTCTGTCGGAATACTTAGATTCAATTGCTTTTAGTAAAGATTTAATTTCACTTTCATTAATTTTTAGTGATTCCTTGAATTCGCTTTTGTATTCTTTTAAAATGTTCGTATTTTTAGTTACACTTTCTTGCATTTCTCTTAAAGCAAGGTCTACATTATGTATGTATTGCACACAGTCTTCACATATAAAATGTATCATTTTATTACTTAAAATATTTATATTGAATTGTTCTACTCCTGAACATTTTGGAGCAGTGTGATATACATGGACACACACACCTGAACATATTAGACCCGTCTCACCATGGATTCCTAAATCACACTTATGGCATTCTTTCATATTTAAGTCATATATATTATATATTTAAAACAATATTTTAAATAATGTATTTGATATTAACTGACTTTACCAGCAGACTATATTTTCTTCGACTTATTCAATTACACAATTGCACTTAACAATTGCTTTTCTGAAAAAAGAATGTACGTTTCACAATACTTATTTTTATTTATATTTCAAGCTTTATAACTTTAATTGCTGTCTATATCAGCTGTTTTAAGTATGTGTATAAAAACAAATGAAATCAAATTGAAATACGCGCAAATTATTTTGCAAAGTAAATAATTTATTTGGCTAGCAGCACAATTTATTAAGTTCGATTTTAATAAAATTTAACACGCCCGGCGCAAAAATCCATCATTCTAGGTGACTATTCTCAAATTCTATCAAGTTAATTACAAATTTAACAATTATTTTTATCAAGTTTCAGACTTTTACTCGGACAACAACAAAAGCAGGACTTCTCTAGGTAACATTCAACTATTATTATCTTAGAAAAAAATCACAAAATTTTTCCCGAGATACGGGTTGTAATCGGTTATGTAAATACCGAAAATACTTTATTGACAAATAATTTTATTCTATTCGTTACAATTACTTCATTATTCATTTATTTATATTATTTTTACGCGCAACTAGCGTGGTTTCACATTTGTGTGTCATTTCCGTTCTTCCTGTCTCTCCTGCTTCGTATCAATTGTCATTCACCTTTCATGCTGCCTCGCAGGGTTGCATTCAGCTCAATATTACTCAGAGTTGCTTTTTCACTGTTACATTCCGCCGTCCTGTGAATCTTCGCAAGATTCACTAATCTGACAAGCGGCTGGCTTGGTGGCTGGACGAGTTAGGATACCATTCTTGGTCTGTACGCGGGCTGATCTAACCTGACCGGTCTTGGACGGAAACACTTCAACAATTCGACCCTTGAGCCATTGACCTCTTGGTAGCAGATTGTCACAAACGATCACAAAATATCCAACCTTGAGGGGCACCACCTCCTTACACCATTTAGGGCGTCGAAAAAGTTGAGGCAAGAACTCCGTAGTCCATGGTTTCCACAAACGGCTGTTTATATCTTGGAGGATATGCCACTGTTTACCGAGGCTGATAGGTATGGCATCATTATAGTGTGTCTGTGTACTATTGGCACAGCCTAACAAGAAATGATTTGGTGTGAGTGGCTCCTGCTCGCTGTGCGTCAAAGGAATGTCTGTAAGCGGTCGGCTGTTAATGATGTTTTCAGCTTCAATTAGTGCTGCCCATAACGTTTCCACTTTCGGTGCTTCTTCTCTGATTGACTTGAATAATAGACGTTTGATCATTCTTATAAGGCGCTCCCAGCAACCATCTGCACTGGGATTCTGCGGACAATTGAATATCCATTCAATTCTAAGTTGAGTGGCTTCCTCACGTATATCATTAACATCAAGAAACCTTTTATCAACACATAATTCTCTTTGTGCCCCAATAAAGTTGGTGCCATTGTCACTACACATTCTGACTGGCGTACCACGACGGTTAATAAAACTGCGGAAACATACTAGGAACGCATCAGTTGATAAGCTATCGACGATGTCTATATGTACAGCACGTACTGTTAAGCATGTGAATATGACAGCCCAGCGCTTCTCACGGCGACGACCAATATTAACATGTAATGGTCCAAACAGGTCAACACCTGTGTATGAGAACGGTCGTACATACGACGTTATACGGTCGACTGGGAGCTGACCCATTAACGGTGGCGCTGGCTTGGCGGCTTCAAGGCGGCATTCCATACAATTGCGTTGGACTGATTTCAAAAATGGCTTGGCACCAATTATCCAGAACTTTTGGCGTACAGCGTTGATAATGGTAGCTTGATTTTGATGTTTGTAGGCAACATGATAGTGTTTCATTATTAGTTCGGAGACGACATGGCGTTTCGGCAATATAATAGGGAGTCGAGCTTCAAGAGCCAGATATATGTCTTCGTCCAGGCGACCACTGGCACGAATAATTTCTTCGTTGTCTACGTATGGCGTTAATTTGTAAAGTTTGCATTTTTTGTTAAGAGGTTGTTGAAGCTTAAGTAAACTCTTTTATTCCGAAAAACAATCCTCCTGTACCAGTTGCATTATAAATTTTTCGGCTTCATTGATTTCACTTGGTAATAACGGTAGCAACGATGGCTATTTTGTTCTTGACGTAAAAAGGTTGACCCTTTTAACCAAATGTAGCCATTGTTTATTTTAGGCACCTCTTTGGCTCTTGTTGCAGCGTCAGAAGGGTTCATCTTAGTTGGCACCCATCTCCATTAGTCTTCTTTCGTTGAGATCAATATTTCAGCTATACAATGCCCAACAAATGGTTTGAATCGGCGATTTCTTGAATTTACCCAACAAAGAACGGTTTTGGAATCAGTCCAAAATACTATACGGCTTATGTTTATGTCATGTCTGTCCACCACCAGCTTTGATAATCGAGTAGCCAAGACTGCAGTCTGCAGTTCCAACCTTGGCATGGATAGGAGTTTCTTAGGCGCTGTGCGAGTCTTACCACAGACAAAAACTACATCGACTGCATATTGATGTTAAATTCGCAGATACACTGCTGCAGCAAATGCAACTTGACTAGCATCCATAAATATATGGATTTGGACCTCTTTGGCAATGTTGAGATGCGGCGAGTAGCATCTTGGTACAAAGAAATTGCCTATTCTGGCAAATTCGTCCCACCACCGAAACCATTTTTGAGATAATGTAGGTAATAACAAGTCGTCCCAATTTAATTTGGTTTTCCAGGTTTCTTGCAATAATACTTTGGCAATAAATAAAAAATTCGCTAAGATGCCGTATGGATCAAATATAGCCATCACAATTCCTAAAAGTTCTCGCTTTGTTGGAACCCTTTTACCCTCGATAACTTATTTAGCTATGCGATGAAATTTTGTTAAGAATAGAAACGAATCATTTGTTACGTTCCAATACATTCCCAAGATTTTCTCAGTTTGGCTCTGCCGATTCAAACAGATGGCCTCTGCACTTCCACCTGCGTTCATGACAATCTGTAGATTTAACGAATTTGATGAAAAATTACGAAGTTCAAAGCCTGCGTTTGCATTAATTTGCACCACTTGCTGACAAATTAGAAGGGCGTGCTCTTCTGTATAGAAACTGGCAACGTAATCGTCTACGTAAAAGTTTTCATTGATGGCAGATACAGCTTCCGGATATTGGCTGCGATAACTTTCGGCATTATGGTTATTAACAAATTCAGCACAACAGGGCGAACATACTGTTCCGAAGATCATAGACGTCATGACATATTGTTCGATCGGTGACATTTCGCAACCGTTTCTCCATAAAAATCTTTGGGCATTCTGGTCGGCTGGTCGTATTTTAACCTGAGAAAGCATCTCTTTTATGTCTGCAGCAACAGCAATACGACCCTGACGTAGTTTAAAAAGTATTCCTACTAATGGTTTAACCTTTTCTGGTCCCTTCAACAATGCTGAGTTGAGAGATTGTTTATCAACAGTGGCGGCGGCATCGAAAACAATTCTCAGTTTGTCGGGCTTATGCGGGTTCTGCACATAAAAATGCGGCAAATACCACAACGGCTTTGTGATATCTTCAATTTCATTTTGTGTGACTTTCCTGGCGTAACCTTTTGCGATGTATTTGTTTATTTCGGTGTTATATCGTTCTGCGAATTTGACATTATTTCGTATTTTAGCTTCGATTCCCTGCAAACGTTTGACAGCCATGGCGTAGCTATCAGGCAATATTGGTGAATTTTTTCTCCATAAAAGGCCAACCTCATAACGATCATTGATACGACGTGTTGTATCAGACAAGATTTTACGAGCTCTCAAATCATCGGCTGACTCCAGCGGCGGTGTTGGATTTTCAATTCCAAAATTTTCACAATTAAAATATTCGGCAACAATACGATCAAGACATTTAAATGATGGTTCTGTTCGGGCAAATAACATTGGCGAATGGACGGTGATGCTTGAACCCGTTGGACCATACGCCACCCATCCAAGTTTAGTTCGAATAGCCACTGGATTAGATGCACCGGCGGTCACTGATGCAGAAGATACATTTATGTTGACACAATTTAGGCCCAGCAGCATTAAAGGGCGAACATCGTCATAGTCTTCAATCGGCAAACAATCAAGGTGTCCATAATCTGATTTTTTAAACGATTGTGTTGGCAGTCTTAGATTGGAAATTACGTAAACGTTTTTAATCTCATATTGTTCGCCAGTTTCACCCTTTATGTTGACATTTACCACTGTTGAGTTTTGAGTCACCTTCTCTTGATCATACCACTGCATTTAAGTGTTGTTTCTTGCCTTTAAGGCCTAACTGACTTGCAATTTTGGCATCTAATATAGTGATTGACGACCCTTCATCTACAAGTGCGAAAATCTTCAGTTGTCCCTTTGGACCCATAATTTTTATCGGAACCAATTTAAAAAGAAAACTGGAACATGGCTTGGCACAACTCAAAACCTGTTGAACTGATCCAGACGTAGGCGGCACTTGTTGGGACTCATGTAGCAATCTATTATGATTTTTACGGCAACCGATTATACCGCAAAATCTTTTCATTCGGCACTGTATGACATGGTGTCCTTTCCTCAAACATGAAAAACACAAACGAAGCTGCTTCACCTTTACCCAACGCTGCTGAACATTTTTACTCAAAAACGCTTCACATGTAACTATCAGATGTTGGCCTGCACATTCAAAACACTTAACTTCTAGGTGATTTTCTTGTTCCATCACATGGTTTTGTGCATACATAACTCGGCGCGTATCATTTTGAGTAGCTGGCATTGTAATTTTAGGCTTTTCGGTTTTTGATTGACACAATGGCTGTGGCAAAAGGCAAATTATTTTCGCCATCTCACTCAACCAAACACTAAATTGTTTTATTGTGGGATATTACTTCAGAGTTACAGCGTGACGCGCCCACACGAATTGTTTACTAGGCGGCAGCTTACACACTAGTTGTTCTAATAATATTGGATTGTTCAAGTGTTGCTCACACTTGGCTGATGACAAAAAGGCTACAACATTTCGCACAAGAGAGGATAAGGCAATTAAACTATCAACGTTCCTCTCAGTCACTCTCTCGAACTGTTGAATCTTGTCCAACTGGGACCGTATTAGCAAATCTTGGCGGCCAAAACGAAATTCAAGTTCTTCCATAACTGCAGGCACATTTGATGAATATATTAACAGTGACTGAACGACATCCTTGGCTTCATCCGTTAGGCATTTTTTTAGGCGCATTAAATTATGTCTGTTGGTATACTTAAACGTTTTGGTGGTGTCCTCACTAGCACTAGCACGAAAAAGTGGCCACTGTTCGGCGTTACCGTTGAATTTTGGCAAATCATAAAGTCGGATGCCTTCGCCTGCTGAACATACGACTTCTGCAGTGCACCGTTCGTCTTCACCTTGATTTATCTTACCTATTTCATCTTTCTTTTCGTGCGTTACCGACTTATCGTTGGCAAGTTGTCCACGCAAATTACTTATGTCTTCCCGATTAGAAACTGTTTCAGCTCGAACTTCATTCACTGTTTGTTGTAGAGCTTGTATGGCTTTTAACACATCTTGTAATGATGTCTGCTCTTGACATCTTGACGACACTGGAGTCTCAAATGGCGATTTATTATTTCTGCGACTCATCTTTAATTTACTCACTTTGTCTTTTCCCGCGTTTTTCCCGGCGTCATACATAAATGAATGTTATTTTAACGGAAACAAATGTGAAAACATGTAATTGGTTATGTAAATACCGAAAATACTTTATTGACAAATAATTTTATTCTATTCGTTACAATTACTTCATTATGCATTTACTTATATTATTTTTACGCGCAACTAGCGTGGTTTCACATTTGTGTGTCATTTCCGTTCTTCCTGTCTCCCCTGCTTCGTATCAACTGTCATTCACCTTTCATGCTGCCTCGCAGGGCTGCATTCAGCTCAATATTACTCAGAGTTGCTTTTTTACTGTTACACGGGTCTTCTTATTTTATGAAAGGAGCTCATAAAAAAGATGTCAGCCAAATCGGAGATCATGAGGTCATTTTTTGCCAAAATCCGTCCGGTTTGTAAAAGAATGACCCATATTCATGAAAATTGAATTGTCAGTTTCTAGTTTTCAAAGTAAACTTCTCCTTTTTAATAATGCCACATGAACGCCATATCACTCCCTTACCAGTGGTTGAGTAGAAACGATGCCATGTTATACACACTTCTATGTCATAAATCTGACAGGTAATCGAATAACTCTGCCACTAGATGTGCTGCAACCAGAGTTGAGCTCCTGCTGAAGTCTTCGTACAGGTTGTGCATCTGGGCTTGACTGAAATAGAGTAGACCGTGACAACTGCGTGCTTAGTTCAATTTCTTTATTCAACAAATAAGCTGCCTTTATTCTATCAATGCTCACTTGAACAGGTTGGTATCTGATTAAAATAGTAATAAGCTTACGATCACGCCGTATCATTTTGAATGGTCCATCATAAGGTGATTTCAAGGGGGGTCGTACTTTATCATCCCTAAGGAACACATGTGAACACGTCTACAAGTCTCGTTGTACGAACGTTTTCGCTTTTGCATGATAAGAACATGGAACCAGACGTAATTGATCCATGGTCTCGCTAAGAAACGTTACAAATTCAGAGTCACAACCGATGTGAGACGTCTTCTCAAAGAATTCTCCTGGAAGTTTAAGAGACGTACCGTATACAATTTCTGTTGGACTGGCTTGGATGTCGTTCCTGAACACACTCCGTAAAACTGGCAACATCAGTGGTAATTCATCTGTCCACATTTGGTTTGACCTACATTTCAATGAAGCTTTTAATGTTCTGCGAAATCGTTCCAGA